TTGTTAACTTTGGTTATGTGCAAACACAGTCCGATCRTACTCTTTTTGTGAAGAGGAGTGGACCTCTGGCAGTATACCTCATTGTGTATGTAGATGATATTGTAGTGACTGGTAATGATGCTTCAGGAATTCATGATCTAAAATCTTTCCTCCATACAGAGTTTGAGATTAAAGATTTGGGGGATTGAGATACTTTCTTGGCATAGAAGTGGCTTGATCCAATGACGGGATTCTTATCTCCCAAAGGAAGTATGTTCTTGACTTACTCTCTGAAACTGGAAAGATGGGTGCTAGACCAGTTACTCTCTGAAACTGTAATGGGCCTTATTCTGGGTCCATTCTGTCATTATTAAGTTCTGTGTAAATTGTTGCCCAACTAAAGGCCTCCTTGTAATTATTCAAATATTTCTAATAAAACAGTGTTAGGGGGACTGAGAGAGAGTGAGTTCGAAATCCTCTTCTCAGACCCTCATTGCCGAACCCTCAACTCTCTTCTCTTCAGTTTTCTTCAACCACCATACACAAACTTTGAAGCTGGGAAACAGATTGCTGCTGAGCTGGAATCTAAAAGAATAAGAACTGAAGAATTAATTGGGTAGAAGTGAAGGGAGAAAGCTTATGGAATCAAATTGCCAATTGTTTTGGGACTTAGAGATTGGGAATGGAATCTTTAGGGAGTTTGCAAGGAGTTGGGGATTGGAAATGGAAATGATATCCCAAAAGAGGGAGGTGGAAGTGTGAGGAAAAGCTAAGAGAGAGACGAAGAAAAAGAAGTAAAAACAGAATGAGGTGGACGAGTTAAAATGCGGCATCGTTTATGAGAAAGGTAAAAATAAAGGACAAAAGAAGAGGCCGTAGGTAAGGAGGTTTTAAAACCTAAGGGTGAATTCAGAAGTAGGAGATGAAGATCATTAGCTGGACTTTTAGGAGATTGGGTAGTCCAGAAAGAGGCAATCAATAGAAAGACCTTTTGAATAAGGGAAAAACTTGACACAATGATGATTGAAGAGTCAAAGCTGTTTGAGGTAGAAAGTAGTTGTGTGTAGAGCTTTCGGTCTTCTAGAAATATTAACTGAGATATGGCACTCACGTTTGGTGGAATCATCACTTTGTGGAATAATGAAACTTGTACTTGTGGGGAAGAATTGATTGGAAGATTCAAAATACTAGTGAAATTAAAAAGAATAGAGGATGGTTATAAATGGGTGCTAACAAACCTTTATATTCCTAACTTACAAAGAAGGGAACTTTAGCAAGTGCCATGCTCCATAATGGGAGGGTCTGTGGAAGTTAGGTGGTGACTTCAATTTAATGTGATTCTAAAATGGAATCAACAACCCAAATCAATCTATGTACACTAGAATGAAGAAGTTCAATTACTTAAACATTGAGTATGCTCTTAGGGAACCTCCTATTCTCCAGGTCATCTCAACAATTATCAATAATTAAAAGAATCCCATGGAGCATGTTTCTTGGTTTCAGAGCTTGTAATCCTTCCATATGTTCTTTTGAGTTTTGTTTTAAATTTGGATGGTTTTCATATTTTGCCAGAAAGCAAGGAGTCTAGTCAATTATCACTATCACCTTGAAGTATTTGTTGCATCTTTTTTTCATTTGCTGCATTTATTTTTCTTGTATGCACGTGCACATGGATTTTTTAGGGACTGCCGTTTCTTTTGCAGGTTTCTGTTCTTATAATATATTTTGGATACTATTTGATTTACTCTTTGAAGTTCACTTATTCTAATTGCTGTAGTTTTAAAATTCTGAATTTTATTTTATCAATGAAATTTAGTATTTAGATAATTTTCTTTCTGTAAATGTCTACCAGTTTAGCTCGGCAATGTGCTCAACTTTGGGTAAAGACGCGAGAGTCCCTTGGGCACCCTCTAGGCATTATATCTGAACCCAGTTATGTTGCTTGTCCTAAAGACGATCTTGAGAAGGCTCTGAGAAAGGTCAGCTGCTGTGCAACTTTGTTTTCTTTATCCATATATTAGCCTTCTGGTATGGTTGTCAATACTGAATCTAGTTGAATCACTTACTATCATTTGTTTTAAATAATAGTAGCATTCTTATGTAATTTAGAATTAACATTCTTGAACTCTTACATAATCTCCATTGTTATCAAAACCAGATTGGGATGCAAATGGATCAGGTCAAATTGGATATGCCTAGACCTAATTTTAATTCATAAGACATTAATATTCAAATTTGAGTTGAATCTTATATGCTAGATCTGGATTGAACTTTAGTTGGGTTTGGTTATTGAATACTATTAATTTGTTCTTCTAAAGATGTTCAGAATATTATATGTTTTTGATAAAATGAACTGATAAATACTTTGATAATGAATTATCATAAATTAAATGGCTTGAAAATAACTCATGTGAGTCTTGAACCTATGACTCTTTTACCTAAAATACAGCATTTGAACCAACTCTACTGAAAGATAATTATTAACATTATATAGATATCTTTACTATATAATGCCAATACTTGCCTTGGCTGATGTCCATACTACCATGCAAGAAATCTAAACCATTTATCTCTCTCTCTCTCTCCCTTTCTCCCCCCTCTCTCCATGCTCTACTCCCTCTCTTCCTCCTCTTTTTTTTTTTGGATAGATAACAGAGATTTTTATTAAAATATAATAATGGAAAAGGTACAAAAGGAGGGGTAAAAATTCTTAACCCTCCCAAGAAAGCAACTCAGATTACAATGCTGCCCAGAAGAAATTAACTCTTCCCACCCCTTGTTTGGCCAGTGAATCTGCCAGGGAGTTGGCGCACCTCTCTTCCTCCTCTTTCAGACACATTTTTCTTGTGCCACTCAATTAGTAAGAATAAATGGAGATGTTTAAATGTTATCGGATCTTATTGGATCAGATTGAGATAGATCCATAGATTATAAACGGATTTAGTTCAGATTGCTTTAATTGGATTGAATTTGAATTTGAATTCAGACAGATGGATACCAGTTGTATCCCTAATTGGAGTTGTTGATTTGATGATTATGATCAACATATCCAATTACCTCACAATTGTTTCCATTTGATTTTGGAGAAGCTAATGAAATTTCTCAAATATTTCAATGAAACTTAGTATTTACTTGTTATATATTTCCATTCCGGTTGAAAATTTCAGTGTTTTATTGAATCTTTTGGAAATATTAGGGAATGGGGGTGATTCTGCCACCCGAAGAAATGCAGTTCTTTTTCCACCCAGCTATCTTTGAGAATCTCTCTACAACTATCCCAAGAGGAGACTATTGCAAAACATTTTGTTTGGCCTTTTTTACAAATCATTGATGGCCAATGTTGTGTAGCTAAAATCTGATGAATAATGTACAGTGTTGGTTCAAGTGGCTAGGTCATTTAATGGAGTTGGAGTTTTTGTAACCAACGAAGTTAGCACTTCATAAGTTACGTTCATTTAATAGGAGAGGTTTTGTATTTAGTTGGAAGACTTTTATGGGAGTAGAGTGCAGTAAACTGTAAAGCAGAGTTTTTTTTTTTAAATGGAAAACAGTTTGATGGCTTTTAAAGAGGCAAACAATGGGGCGCTTCTTCCTAGGGACAATGAGATTTTTTTGAGAGACGAAGTTAAAAATGGGATAAGGGTTAAACAGGTGTCTTCTATTGGTGATAAAAATGGGCCAGATGGGCTTGTTAGCCTAAAGAGCTAGTTAGGGCTGGATGGGCAAGACAGCTCAAAAGATACTGGGCCCAAGTTGGCCTGTTTTCCTGATGGGCCTCTTAGCCATGTGTTGCTAAAGAACAGGGAGATTATGGACAGCAACTTACGTCTATCTTTGTCCCTGGTAAGTTTTAAACAAGCTCCTTTCACGATTCATCCAAGACAGCGAAGAAGTGTGGCTGGAGCTGTTTCGGGTGAAAGATGTTGGGGAAAGGTTAGCAAGTTCAAATGATTGAAGGCAAAGAATTCAGTGAGCTTTAAAAGTCAAGCTTCAAAACTTCCTTGGAATGTTGGGAAGTCGAAGAAAGAGGTTTGGGAGTGGGTGACTACAAGGTTTATCCGTTCTGATGAGGTGAGTTCGCCAATAGGTATAAGAAGCTCAAAGTCTGAATTAGGATTAGACAAGTGTTCGAGTGAATTCCAAGTGCCTCTTTTGGATCCATGAAAAAGTTTTTTAAARCGTGGTCTCGGAACAGGGGAGAATCACAGGGACTCAATGACAGTTAATACCTCAGATCTTGCAGGATTTGAAGGGGATGGTGCAAATGGTCTTGACAGTGTGTCGAAGAGCAATGTAAGCCCAAGAACGCCTGACAGTAGGGAGTTTGATCAGATGTCCAGGAGAGAAACAATTGTAGCGAAATAGGATACGATGTATTAGGAGGAAGGCGGAAGAAAATTGGTGGTAGTGGGTAAATTAGGGATGGATCTGGGCAGGAGAAGGAGTGGAGGAACCTTGGAGTTTCCTGTTAATGACACGCTTAAGACAGGGGAGCTCAGGAAATCCAAAGGGTTCGAAAACAAGCAGCTGGTTCATGTGACCAAAGTTTTTCCCAGTCCCAAGGAAGGGCTGGTAGGGAACGGCCCTTGTGACAGATTCAAGAGAATCTATAAAAGAAAAGGAGTTAGACAAGGCTTTTCCTATGGAGTTAGACCCGACTAACACAATACATGTTTCTTTTCCATCCTCTCAAAAAGATGAGGATTCCTCAAGGGAGAAGTCGGAAAGAAATGATTTAGAGGTCATTAATGAGAAGATCGGGAAGGAGAATATAATTAAAAAGGAGGATAATGAAAAGGTGGAAGAGGAGGGAGAGGGGAAGGATGAAAGAATGGAAGTGGAGGATAACAAAGTAGCCGCAAATTTACAGCCAGAGGAACAAAATGATAGGAAAGGGGGGGAGGGGGAGGAAATTAAGGGGAGGTGGTTTCGAAGAATCTTCTAAGGAAGGTATCCCCGAGAAGGAAAAAGTGGGCATCGATAGACTAGTGGGCAGACAGGTGGAAATTGGGAAATCTCTTGGATTATTCTTCTTGGGATGGGGGGGGGAAGTGGTGGTCAGGAAAGTAATTGAACAGTTTGAAAGAAACCGAAGGGAAGAGCTGAACAACTCGATGGGTGTGGGGGAAGGGGGTGAGGCCTGGGAGGAAGGTGAAGGGGAGAGAAAGGAATAGTGGATGAAGAATAATGGGTTGCCCGCTAAGTAGCAGTTGGGGAAGGAGGTTCTGTTTGAGGATGTAAAAGGCTCGGGTCTGATGGGGGGAGGAGGGAGTTCTCTTCTGCTTTGCTGCCTTCAAGCTGCAGTACATCTTCTCAGAGGTTCAAGTTGTGGGTGAAAGGGGAGCGGGATTGCGTAGCTGTGGTTGTTTTGTTTTTGGATCCTAGATTTTGTTCATATGTTAATGCCAAAGTTTCAAATTTTGGGTTTTGTTTTATGTTTCTTTTGGGGTGTTTGGTTTAGTGAGAGTTTTGTGTGGTTGATGTGATGGATTTGGGTGTAAAGTTTTCAAAGAAAGTGTTTGGGAGATTGTCGGTCCTTAGTTCTGTTTGGAGGTGTTCCCTCAATACCTCTCTAGGTTGTCATCACCTTTTCTTTTTAATGAATTTTCCTTTTACTATAAAAAAAGAAGAGTTTGATAATGGCTTTTGTTCATCCGTACAATGGTCAGAATCTTTTTATTGCTCATCTAATGGATGGTGCCAACAAATTGAGGATGTCTTCTTCATGTGTACAAAGAGAAGGCTTGGGACCTTCAATTATTTTCAAACCCTCATCCTAGGGCATGAGCTTGGTAAGTGGCTCAACAACCAACTCGAAGATAAGTTCTGAAAAGGATCCTGGCTTTATTCCAATTCCTTTACTGTATTGACTGTGTTCTGGTCCCCAACTGAAACTCTTGAACCAGTGTTATTTGCCATTTCCTCATAATTAAAGTCTATGCTATGATATTGCATTGTTCACAATGTTGAAATGTTCTTTAAATGCTTCCTCTTATAAAGTTCCTTTTAATTTGGATCTCTTACATTTGGAATTTGTTTGAAATATGTTGATATATCAGCTGTTGCCACTTCTTCAGTTATTCTTGTTTCCTTCTAAAGTTCCAAAGCTTGGCCGCAAAGATATCTATGAAACTTATATACAATATATGTATTTATTATTTTAATTTATTAGCGAATAATGTGTTTTTGTTTTTTTCTATGTCAAACATGAGAAAGTGCACTTTGATAATTGATATAGTCTCATATTCAATTTGCTAGTTGCTATACTAATAGGACTCCGGATCTCCTGCCCACAAGAACACTGCCCACGCCTACCCACAATACACTACCCCCGTGAATTGGGAACATCTCCCCCTGCATAATACTATGCAGAGGATGAGATGTTCTCCATGTGTGGCTGCGAAAAATGTAGGCAGAGTTCTTGTGGGCAGGAGATCCGGAATCTACTAATAGTTGTAAATATGCAGGATAAATGATGTGTATGTTTATTATTTCTATTTGGAAGAGGTAGTACATGCTCATTGTTAATGCTACAGGTGCCAGAGGTTCCTAGGTCATTCATTCTTGAAATTGGAACAGAAGAAATGCCACCTCAAGATGTAGTTGATGCAAGCCAACAGGTGTGTATTTCACTTTTAAATGAGGCCAAGGTGCTTGTTTTCATCAACTGATAATGCTTTAGAGATCTCTGAAGTTATTATTTGGTGACAATAATTATTTGTTATTGTAGCTTAAAGATTTAATCATACAGTTACTTGAGAAGCAAAGGTTGAATCATGGTGAAGTATTCACATATGGAACGCCACGCAGAATAGTGGTATTTCTTCTTACGTGTCCACACTTTAAGTTCTTTTATCTTCATATTCTCATGTCAAYTGTTAGACAGTTTTGTATGCCCTTAGCTTCAATCAAAATGATGTACTTTATGAGTTTATTGTAAATGAATAAAAATACATATTTGATTCATGTTCCCTTGGTATGTTTCTGTGTAATACCCTTAAACTGGACACTTAATGAGACTCGTGTTAGTTTAGAA